CCTTTCCTAAAATAAATACATTTTCTGTGAAAAGTTCTTGAAATGCAACATGAAATTCTCAGTACTTGGGCCAAGAGTGTTTACATTAATGCTATTAGTCTAATCTAGTGGCTTACATGATGCAAGAAGTATTTACTTCGCCTTGCATCACAGCTAGAATGATAAACAAACTGACTTAACAGATAATAGAGAGCACAGGGACCCAATTCAAAGAGCTAGTTAGGACTTCGGAAGTCCTAAACAGCTTGGGCCCAGCATGAACCACAACCTCTTAAGGTCAACAAGAAACTCTGAATTATGCCATCTATGTATCAAAACCAAAACCATAAGAGCTAGCAGAAAAGCATTCTCCAAGAGCTTAGAATTCTCCCCACACCATATTTTATTTATTTATTTATTTATTTATTTATTTATTTATTTATTTATTTATTTATTATTTCTATACCACCCTCTCATAAGGTATCAGGACTGTGAATAGTAAAATAAAAGCAATTAAAAGCAGTAAGGTAAAGGTAAAGGGACCCCTGACCATTAGGTCCAGTTGTGACCAACTCTGGGGTTGTGGCGCTCATCTTGCTTTATTGGCCAAGGGAGGCAGCGTACAGCTTCCGGCTCTGGCGAACCAGAGCAGCGCACGGAAATGCCGTTTACTTTCCCGCTGGAGCAGTACCTATTTATCTACTTGCACTTTGATGTGCTTTTGAACTGCTAGGTTGGCAGGAGCAGGGACCGAGCAATGGGAGCTCACCCTGTCGCGGGGATTCGAACCGCCACCTTCTGATCGGCAAGTCCTAGGCTCTGTGGTTTAACCCACACCGCCACCTGCGGCCCTTGTATTAAAAGCAGTACAGATCATTAAAATGACTAGCTACTAATAATAATTTTAAAAAATGGATAGATTTCAAGAGACACGTGAGCCCAAGTGGTTTCTGGTGTTAGACATATTATGTTCAGTTAAATGCACAGGATTCACAGATTCAACAACTGTAACTTCATTTTTACAGCAGCAAGAAATCATGAAAAACAGTGCTACAATGGTCTGAAAATAACCCTCAAGCAGCTTTGCTGTTTTTTAAACTGCATTCAAAGGCCACCTTTTCTTCTCCAAGAAGCTCAAGGTGATTATGTTGTTGTCCCCCTCTTCATACAAACCCCACAACAACCCTGTGAGGTACATTAGTCTGAGAGGCAATAAGTGGCCTAAGGTCAGTGAGCCTCATGACTGAGTGGGGATTTGAACCCTGCTCTTCCAGCTCCTGGTCAGATACTCTATCCACTTCACTACAATGAGTACAAGCTACAATTCCCAGGGCTCTTAAATAATTTGGAGGTGGGGTTGTTGGGCTTTGTTTGTGTGCTTAGAATGCCATTTTATAAGTGCTCACTTCAACAAAAGTTTTCATCCCAACTGCACTTCTTTCAAAGCAAGTTGCATTACTGTGTGCAACTTCCTTCCAGTTACGTTTGTTTAGCACTGTGGAATAAAAGCAGGCAATACACATTCTCATATTAGACCCCCAAGAGCACCAGATTACTTGCTTTTAAAATTGTGCATACATTTTAACCTGGGATAGCAAATATTTTCAACGACATTTTCAAGCGCTGAAAATTGTGCTCAAATTCAGTCACACAACTATCCCAATATGGCTTATGTATTTGAACTTCTGCGATTACTGTCTATTACATGAATCTATTATTGAAACTATCTGTCCTTAGGTATGATGGTTAACATCAGAAATGAACTTAAGTCAGTATTCTGAGTGCTTGGTTCCTCAGGTACCTAAAAATCAGAAACATTTTTTCCTTACCCCTGTGCAAGTAATGCCATGAAACCAAATGCTGCTCATGAAAAAATTGGCGGAGGCAGTGGGAAATCTTTAATCCCCACTACTGCCTGCATGGTCCCTTGTCCATCTAACATAGTTTGATTGCTCCATTAGGATTTTTCAGGCTTTTCTCATTTTAAGCTATGTGAGCAGCAAATGCGACATACACCAAACAAACAGAAAAAAACAATTAGGAGAAAATATGTAACTTCATGCCATAATCTCCCCAAGAAAAAGCAGGGCTAGTGAGGCAAAATGAATCAAAAGAACTAAAAGGGACTTGCATAAAATATACTTTAAAGTATTTTAAAAGGCAACTATAAGCCTTGGATTGAAAAAGAGCTACTTTAGAAGTAGGGAACCTCTGGCCCATGGGCCAAATCTCTGTCTGTCAGGGATGCAATTTGGCCAGCAAGGCCACTTGCCTCAAACCACATCTGCCTATTATCAGATGAGCAGGGTTCAATCCTGTTGGGTGCTGCTTCACCAGTGTCTTTCCTGTGGTGGCAAAGCAGACGCTTCCCCTCCCAGCAGTGTTAGAAACTCAGATATGTAAGCTAAAAGTCAAATGGCGCCTTAACCGTAGGTTATGGTCGCCACAATGGAGTTTCTAGGCGCCCTTTTGCAATTAAATAAATAGTATTGCTAAATCAGTGTTTTATAAATGTATAAACACTTAAATAAGCTATTTACAACCTAGCTGACAGCACTTTGTTAAGAGCTGAAAGTATATTGGGGTGCAGGGGTGCTTCTCACTGGGGACTAATGGGACAGTGCATTTTCTGCTTGTTGGAAGCATTTATGCCATCTGCACTCACCTATTCTGTTTGCAGTCTCTGAACAATAAATCAAATTATTACAGAAAACACCAGAAATCTCCAGTGATCCCAGATAAGTCCTGCCACAGAGTTTTTTTATCATCACTAGGGGATGTGGGAAACATGTACCACATATTTACTTCTCTCACCTACTATAGCAGTAATCATAGCATCTCTGCATATTGCTCTGAACTACATGAAAGTGTTGATTTGAGTGAAGGCTGTTCGTCACTTTGATGTCAGTTAAAGAAAGTTTTGTAACTAACCCTGTAATAAGACCCACATTAAATACAGTTTTTTTAGGTTACACTATCCTAACCACTTTATGCTAGGCTAGTTCAGTTCTTGATTAGTACAAACAACTAATTTATTGGACTACCAAAAGTTCAGTTTCTCTATAATTTTAGTACAAGAAAAACAAGACAGGACTGCAGTTATCTTGCCCTAGGCTTCTGAACTATTTTGTAATCAATGAAAATATTTTACAGCAAATGTGCCAATACTACCACAGGTAACTGCAGTATGGCATTTGGAAGACTTTTTTTTGTTTCTGGAACATTTAATATTTTTACTCACAGCACTGTTTCACACATGATGACAAATTCCTATTTTCTTAGATAATGATTATTTCAACACAGGAAAGGAACAATATGTCAGTATTCTTTAAACCCAATTAAGAGATGGGGAAAAATTCAGACACAGAAAAAGAAGCAATTAAAATTGTTGTAATGTATGCAGAATCCATATTTGCTTAGTGATCATCCAATCTTATCTATCTTTCTCTAGAACCTTTCTTTTATACTAAATTATGAAATCATCAACCCTTTCATCACAATGACCCTCACAAATCCAAGCTAGAATTACAGAGGACTAGTTTAGTTCAGTAACTAAGAGTCAGAGACCCAGGTTCAAATCTGACCTCAGCCATGGGATTAAAAAGTGGCCTTAGGCAAACCACTATCTCATAGCTTCAGACCCATATGCAGCATGGAGCATGGAACAGGTGAATTAAACTACATGAATGTTTAATATTATTTAGCTATTTCACAAGAAGTCTGCTTATACACAGGTGGCCCAATGCTTTCTGCTCTTCCAACTGTTATTTAACTTCATGAACCGAGTCATCATGCAAGGTTGATGTCACAATACCAAATCAACTATTCCGTACTCGAAAAAGCAGTGATTTAAAAGTAAGCATACAGCATCTATAGGGAGAGCATGAAGAACTAGGTCATGGCTCAAACATGTAAAAAACAAACCCACAAACAGCATAGAACCTTGCATTTTTAAAGAGTGTTATTACACAATTGTCCACTTCTGTCATATATGATTAAAGCAAATAATGATTTTATTCTTTATTCTGGAAAATACCATATTTCTTTGTATACATCAGGGGTCAGCAAGCTTACCGAACGATGGGCCGGTCCACACTCTGTCTTTCAGATGTGCCGGAGCATGCGTGCACGCACGCGTGCTCTTCCGGGTCGGAAACGAGCCCGTGCGCACACGCTATTTCCGGCGCTCCCCCGACCCGGATGTGCGCCGGAAATAGCGTGTGCGTACAGGCACCATCAACCCGGAAGTCGGTCCCCGCGCCACGCCAGTAAGAGCAGGCAGCACCATGGGCCGGATAGACGAGCCCCGTGGGCCGCTAACAGCCCATGGGCCTTAGGTTTCCAACCCCTGGTATACAGCTAGGAAGCCTACACAGGCAATTTTCATGATACATGTATTAAATATATTTTTTTAAAAAAAGCCATGAAATTGAAAGTGGCAAGATGTGTTATATATTTCCATACTCCTATCTTTACCACTTGCACACAGTTTCTCTAAGGCCACATTGCCCCTAATTTATCAAGTTTCCACAGTTCAAAACCAGTCTTGAACTTCCCCACACTACACAAGAGCAGGAACCACTTCTGCAGTAAAAAATGTACACTAAACATAAACAGCCCTTTCCGTATTTTATGTAATGCCTTCACTCTACACAGGTAAAGTAATAACATATCATTATGTACATATAACAATGCATGGTGATGCATTGTAGAACAAAAAAAGGGCGGAGACAAACAAGCAGAAACATATCACAAACTAGGAATTTAAACAGGGAAAATAAGTGTGCAATAAACAGATCAACTGAGATGTAGATACAAGATGAGGAATGTCCCTACCTCTTAAGATCTCTGGTGTAATAAATTGGTAAGGAGAGGTAGGGAGATTAGAAAGTCCAGCAGCAATTACAACTAGGGCTACAATCCTATGCATGCTTAGCTGGGACTAAGTCCTACTGAAAACAATGGGAGTTACTTTGAACACAGTGGATTATGATATTGGGCTGCATCCTAATCACACTTACTGGAGAGTAAGGCATACAGGATATAATGGCAGTTTTAAGTAAACACTTGTACAGCAGATCTTGCATTTTTGTTAGAAAGGAAAGGTGATCAGCATCCCTTCCAATTTTATTTGATGTCAGGAATTGTCCATATAAGGGATGTCAAACATCTGGGGATCAGGGAAGTGGGGGTGGAGAGATGTGATCAGCTCCCAATAAGTTTTGAAAACTAGAGAGAAAGGTAAGAGAGAAAGTGCAGCTTAACCCTCCAGTGTCACACTCATCATTTAACGTTCCAATCCACAATTAACCTGTTTCTCTTTCTTCTTGTTTTCTCCCCACACACCAAAGAACCAGTGTGCTCTAATAAGGGCTACAGACAGAACCCAGTAAGTGAAATGTGCATTTCCAAACACCCCAAAATGCGGAACTATCTTCATTGCTTCTTTTGTCCCAAGTACTCCCCCCCCCCGTGCATGCTGCCATCTTGTACGGTGGCAAGTGTAGCTAATATCATTACATCTATCTAGCCACCACGTGCATTCCACCTTAAAGACCGTTACAAATTGCACACAAGTTTTGGGCAGCAAACATCATTGGGATCACCATTCCCCCTTTCTCACCCACCACCACTTGTTTCCCTTTAACATCTTGACTGAGGAAGAGCTCTGGGGAACTTGAAAACTTTGCACGTGGCTTTGCACGACCTTTTGGCGTCAGTCCTACTTAGTTATTAGTCCTTATTAGCAACATTAACAAAAGCAGCAGCAGCAACGGACTGTGGCTGCCGGCCTTCCTCGGGAGCAAGCGCTACATCTGAAGGCAGCGGGGCTTGCTCCCTAAGCAGCAACACGACTACACCGTGGCTGTCAGACTTTCTCAAGAGTAAGCGCCGCTTCTTGAAAGCTGCGGGGCTTTGCTCCAGAGGAAACCGCGCCGCACGGGCCGCTCCCCACCCCCCTCGCACTTCCTCCTCCCCGCCACTGAAGCGGTGACCGTGGAAGACGAGGCTGAGGGCTACGAGGAGGCCGCCGCCGAAGCCACGCTGTTGTTTCTGGTGCCGCCGAGGCCTGCCTCCCCTCCGAACTCAGCACAAAAGGACACCCGAGGCTAAGCAGGCGACGCCGGCCGGCCGGCCGCCCAGCAGCCCCTCTCTTCCACCACAAAGGGAAGAAGGCGAGGGAGGCGGAGCGGGGCCTGCGCGCGGCGGGGCCTGGGAATCCGACCAAGCCAGTCAGCCCACCCACCCTCCTTCCGAGGAGGCGAGCCGCGGGCCTCCCCTCCTCCGGACTCTCCCCACCCCCTCGCACTCAGGCCCGCCGCCGCCGCCACTTCTCCTCAGACTCCCGTTAGGCCGCGGCGAGGCCTGCTCGGGCCCGGCATGAGGCGGCGGCGGCGACACCACACATTCCCTCTCACTCTTTGCCTCCTCACCTGTGGGCGCTGGGCTGGGCGGCGAGCCGCGGCCTGGCTCCCACCCCCGGACGGGCCGCGAGAGGACCGTGTGAGGAGGGCGCTATGAGCTGGCGAAGCGAGCACGGGGGTGGGGGGGATGGAGGGAATTTTTTAAAAAAGGGGGGGTTAAAAGAAGGAGTAAAAGAGGCGGGCGGGCTTATCTCGACGATGGCCGCCAAAACGACACTCACTCACACACACGAAAATAAAACGGAGGAAGAACCAGCCTTGGGAGAAAGCGGGGTGGGGGTGGGGGGAGTTAAATAGTCGGCCGGCCGAGCGACCCCGCGCTCGCTCGCTCGCTCGTTCCCTCTACCGCCACCACCAGCGCTAGGCCGGGAGGGGAGCGCGCTCGGCTCTCTTTCTCCAGCGGTTGCGCGCGCACGCGCGCTCGCGCACACACCCTACCCTGCCCTCTCCCTCGCGCGTGCGCGCGCACCCCTGCTAAGGGCAGCAGCTCAGAGAGAGCTGGCTCGCTCTCCTTGCGCACGCGCACGAGACCTCGCCTGACGGGGAATGAGCGGCGTTAGGTGGAGGGAGGCTAGAATTAGATGGATTTGTGGCGCCGCCTCCTCAGCTTTTAGATGTACCTCATCCTTCACTGAGGGGAGACAAGATTTATTCCTCTCACCTAGTTAATCTTGAAATATATTGTTGTTAACGTGGGATCTCCTTTAATAATAATGATAATGTCCTGTGATATTTAAAGGCCATTTTAGGCAGAAATGTTTACGAAATTAACTTCCAAGCTAATTTTAATAAACTTTCAAAATTATTTATTTTCTTCTTCTTCTTCTTCTTCTTCTTCTTATTATTATTATTATTATTATTATTATTATTATTGCTTCCCATGAGGCCTCTGGAAGCGATTTGCAATGTGCAGTAATGACGTATGTAGAAGTTATGTATACAGAAACCGTATCTGCATATAAAAACAATTTTAGGGACAAAAGCAGCAAATCTAGAAACAGTTTAAAAGAACGCATACTGACTGAGAAATATTTTAAAAGGCTTTTTGAAAGAGGACTGAAATGATGATTATGTTGGGTTATATTCCATTTTTGCTTGACTCAGAGTAGACCTATTGAAATCAATAAACATGGGTAACATTAAGTCCATTAAATTCAGTGAACCTACTCTGAGTAGTCCTGAGTCGGATTAACATTGTATATTGGTACAAGATACAGCACAAAATGGTTGACATGGGCAGTGGAAAAAGAGGTGGTTGCACCAGTGAATACATCCACACACACTGTTATTATATCAGGCTCCAGAACACATCGTATACATTTATCATATTTTTGTTGGGCTCACCTCTTGGTCTGGGTGTCTAACACTGAACAACAGACCACAACCAACCACGATTTGGCATAATGTGTTGGGTGCTTCCTATTATCTTCTTGAGTTAGAATTCCACACCACCTTATTTCTCTTTCTTTCTTTCTTTCTTTCTCTCTCTCTCTCTCTCTCTCTCTCTCACCAACCCACCAATCAGGCAATAACAAAGAACCCACCCACATTATATGCCAGGGATAGAGAACCCTCCACTCTCATAATCACTGAGGGACTACTCCAACTCCCATAATCCATGACTGTTGGTCATACTGGCTGGAATTATAGTCAAACCCCATTGCTGTAATAACTGTGTTTTAAGGGCATGTGTTCGTGTGTGCTGGTCTGGCCTTGCCCAATGGAATATGCCTTCCCAGTGTGCTTCTTAGCCTAAAAATTTCCCCATTCCTGATTTAAATTATGATTTAACCAGAATGAAAGTACTGTAATGGAAACATTCAAGTGAGCTATCTGTTTTAAGTATTAGATTATCTATTAATTGTTTAATAAATGACATTTGTTTTGAATTATGGAAATGTTTGATAAATTCTGCTCTTAAGTTTAGTAATACTAGATAATGTAAATCAACTCTGTTGATTTATAATTTCCTGAGATTGGAGGGACAATTACTTTTGCATTCCAGTACATTAGGTGCAGTAAAGTAGATACAGTCATTAATTACCTTGGGTGCCAATTCATTAGATAAGGAACTGTTTGCTTATCTGCTAAATCAGTATTCGTGATAATGAATTTATTGTCATTAAATTCTATGATTTCCCATGTACTTAAATATGCTCTTACCTATTGACAGCATTTCTGGAGGTGAGCAATAGCCCCAAGGCTTCATTTTGCTTCTCTGCCGTCACTTAACAGACTGTGTTGTTCGATCACTTTCCCAATAGCAGGGATGGGGACATGTGGCCCTCCAAATGTTGTTGGGCTGCAACTGCCATCAGACCCAGACAGCATGGCCAACGGCCAGAGATGTTGAGAGGTATAGTCCAACAACATATGGAGGGACACATTCCCTACCCCTGACAAGTAACTCATGATCTGCAGCCATCTTGTCCAGGAGAGGCTAGTCTCCTGCAGGAATGCATTCACACAACAATTTATTCCATTTCTCCGAAAATGCCTGTTCTCATGTTGCCACCCTCTGGAGAGGGTCAGGACTAGCCTCTCCTGGACAAGATGACATGTATTGGACTAGCCTCTCCTGGACAAGATGACATCAGATCATGGGTTACTTGTCAGGGGTAGGAGATGTGTGCCTCCATATGTTGTTGGATTCAAATTTGAATTCAAATTGTAATACAATAAAAACTCAATGTAAGAAGCAATAAAAATATGAATTAAAAGTCAGTAGGAATATTTAATGTGATAAATGTGCCATCTTCAACCATAAATCCACAGATGCGCTGCGGACCACCTGAATGAAACTCACAGACCATTGAAGGTCTGCAAACCAGTTTGGGGACTCCTCTTTTAGACGGCAAAGTGAGATATAAATGATTGGCAATAAACAATAGCTATAACTGACAATAATCACAACTCTTGTCCTTCCTTCCCTTCTTTTTCCACCCTCTTTCTTCTTCCAATCCACCCATCATTCTTTCATCCCACCAGTTTATCCGAACTATTGTGTTAGAAATCTGGGTTTTATGCACAAAACCCTGCTCTCCTGTTGGCTATAATACAAATAGCCTGTTCATTTAGCCTATCTGATTTGCATATTCATAATTGGACTAACCTCTATGACTCCTCCAAAACCTCCTGCAATGCTGTTGTCTTCTCCTTCCGCTATAGCTCACTAGTCACCCTAGTGTAACATGGCTTTGGGCAACAAGTGTAAAACGAGGGGAAATATTTACAAAATTAGGCAATGTTTTAAATGCCCCTGCTTGAGACCAATTGCAAAACCTTTTATCATGAGAGTACAACACTTCAGAAATTGGCAAGAAGCAGAGGCCAAATGAATGAGCCTCTTTCCAACTGTGACTGAGATTTGGCAGACATGAGTGGAGGTTCCTCACTCTTTCTGAGGTTGAGAATTGTTGGGAAACTAGACAGCAGTGCTCCCAATATTTGATGAAATGCAGCCTGCACTATGGAAAGTAATACCTTACCTTGGACTGCACAGCCATTAATACTCTTAATGCTCCCTGCCATTCATGCTAAGCATCTTTACAATACTGTTGAATCACTGTGTCTGGGATTCCCAATCATTTCTTTTCCCTGAGCTGCATATTCTGAAAGACCACATTCCCAGGACTGGAAGTGTGGGGTGGCAACTCAAGGCAGTCCACTTAAAATGGAAATGGGTTCTAACTGAAAATATAGTTTATGAATATTATTAGGATACCCTGGTTCCCCTCACAGAACTACAGTTCTCAGAGTCATTTAACAGTCAAGCCGTATTCCCAAGGAACTCTGGGAATTGTTGTTCTCTGAGAGGAATACAGACCTCCTAACAACCTTAACACCCATGACAAACTACAGTTTCCAGGATTCCTTGGGGAAGCCATGACAGTTTAAAGTATTATGCTACTGATTTACATGTATAGTGCAGATGCAGAGCAAGTCTTGCTGAAGAAAAATCTTGTGCAAAGTCTACTCATTTCTCATTAACCTTTTAGAGTTACTTTGAGAATGTAATAGTGATGGTCCATTATGCATTGGACTTCCAAGAAGCTTTTGATAAAGTCCCACTCTAAAGCTGCTTGAGTACACTTGGGAGTCAAAGGATAAGAGGAGCAGTCCTCTGATTAAGGAGCAGGAAGGAGAGGGGGGAAGGAGTCAGGTGTGTGTATTACCCTAATGCTGCTGATTTTACAGAGCAGTGAGGGGACTGTAAAAAAGACATTAATGGCTGCATCCAGACAGGATTATTGCATTAGTTTTTCTGGTTATAATGCCAGTGCTGTGTCATTTTCTAATGTTCCTTTTACACTTCACTACCTGCTTCATTATGGAACTGTGGCTTTTTTATTGATGTATCACCATGTCCCCCTAAATTTCATTCACACCCTTAACTATGGTGTGACACAGCAGCCAGCGTCATTGGGCATGTTGCCGCTGTGTATGCAGATGTGCACTTCTGTTTTCCCTACGGTTCCTCCATAAAAACGACAGGAAAGAACTGTATGCCAGAATACAACCCCAAATTTCGTCCCAGTGTGCGATCCATGAAAACCTCAGGGATCTTGCATCTTACAAACCTCCCACGATTTTGCGGGTTAATGGGGTTGCAAACAGATTTTGTTCTGGAAGCAATTAGCACAGAAATGAAGGCTAAACTTCCACCATATTCCTGTAGATTTCTAGAAGTAGTGTTTAAGTCACATGAAAGATCACATAAAACATGTAAATTATCAGATAAGGAAACATCAGGAAAATGGAATAAGGTGCTCTCTGAATGCAGGCTGTGTCATGTTGCACATCTGAGTGCCAAAGAAGCATAATGTTCATTGAGATGAATGCCTACAGTGACAATAGTTCATTCAAGGAAGATAATCTCGTTTTAGACGCCTGCCACCTTACAGTGTCACTTCTGCTTTTAGGCTAGGGAACCTTTTTCAATATAGTATGAGGGTTGCATTTCCTTGTTGGCAACCTCCCAAGGGTCCATGCTAGTGGTGGGCGGTGCCAGAGGCAAAAGTGAACTGAGCAAAATATATGATCTTGTACAGTAAGCTATGCTTCAACCATGCAAAAATCAGCTTTCCATGCGTGCATGCTCTCACTTGTCCCTATGTATACACACATTTCTTCATCCAGGCAAACAAGAAGCATTATCACAGTTCAAAGACATATTCCAGCAAGGCAAAGTACTCAAGGGGGGCGTGTCCTGGGAAAAGTCTCAGGGGCCTCATAAACTTGGAGAGCCACATTCCATTCCTGAGCCTATGGTGAGTCATGAGGGCCAGATAACAAAGGCTTGAACACTGCATTCTAGCCCTGGGCTTGAGATTCCCTCCTCCTATTCTACTGTTACGTAACAAACCTTGGAGCCTACAAGCTTCTTTTTCATTGGTGAAGTCACCATAATCATATTATTCTGAGTCTCATGAGATGC